AGGGTCCAGACCCGAAACGTCGGCTTTCCTGCTCCTCTGATGCTGCTTGGCCTGCTGTGTTCATCCAGCTCTACACCTTGTTATCTCAGATTCTCCAGCATCTGCAGTTCCTATTATTTCTGTTAACGTTTTGAGTCTAGTATGTGAAATAACTCCACAGAGGCCAGTATCCTGTCACCAAGTCGCCCTTCATTTACACGTGGAGATTCCTTGACAACTGTCCAGCTCCAACAGAGCCAGCTCTCAGAGTGAACAGAAGCTCTGAAACTCCCACTTATATCTGTCAACCAGCGCTCCCTGTCCCCAAACAGTGAACTCATATTCTAGGAGGTCCACCTGGCTGACCTTGTTACAATCACTACAGAAGTCTTCAGACGTGAAATGGATTGGAAAATGGTGTAGAGGAGCAGCAAGGGGAACAGATTGTATGGTGGCCCAGTGCAAAAGTCAAAGGGGTTGCTAATTATTGTGAAAGCAGAAACATTAGCAGCTCATACCTTTCCCCCATCAGCAGCAACATCAAAGTGGTCGGGACATGGAAAACATTGTTTTACTCGAAAACCCCTGCCACCCTCTCCATTCTCCCTCCAACTGCAAGGAACGTCCAAAACTATGGAATCACGCTACCCCCCCCTACAAGATGGCATCACCCTGTGCTTTGCAATGATGTGCGGTAGTACAGTCTCTTAGCAGTGACCAGCATAATTTTGATTTAAACCTATATTGCTGTTCCATTACCAGTGAGTCAACACATGGACTGCAGTGGTTTAAGAAGTCAGCCAACTTTCTCAAGGGACAACCAAGGGTGAATAATAAATGCCTGTCTTGCCAGTGACATCCTTAGTCCTGGAATAGTTTTGATCTTACATTACAAACAAACAAATAAAATTATTAATGTTGTGAAGATCCTGGGGTAAACACCCTTTGCCCTTCTCTCCAATACAGTGGGTGACCAAGGAGATTTTAAAAGAAGCCTCTCACCTTAAATATAGTGCAAACTTCACAGAGATGTTGTTTTGGTCCAAGAAAGCCCCAGGCAAGGACAGGACTCACGTGCTCCGAAATGGAGTAAAAATGGGAAATGAAGCCATCAGGGACCTGCAGCCATGAGGTAACACATTGTAATCACCACTTAAAACTCATCTTCAGAACATCATTCCTTTTAAATTTTGGGCCAAATTTTATTCCCATTTCACACAAGCTCACAGTGTACCCCACACATTGTGGGGGGAAGTTTTTATAATCATTGGCTCATTCACCCCCAAGCTCCCTCTGTTTACTGACCTGCAACAGTCGCCTTTTTGCTTTTAACACTGACCAACAAGCTGTGGCAAGGGCCTGTGGAATTCAAGAAATCAGAAGAGTCAAAACACAGTTTTTTTTAAAAATTATTTTTAAGGGATGGAGATGTTGCTGCCCATCCCTAATTGCCTTGAACTAAAGGAAACGCTAGGGCTATTTCAGAGAACTGTGTTAATAGTCAACCACATTGCTGCTGCTCTGGAGTCACATGTAGGACCAACCAGGTAAAGGTGGCAGATTTCCTTCAAGTGGAGTTCTTATTCCCCTGCAATCAATGGTGTTTACACGGCACATTGAGTCCAGCCTTCAATTCCAGATTTTATTAAGGAATCTAATTTACATGCCATGGGACTTCCCCTATTACTCCTAGAGTATTAGCCTGGGTCTCTGAAACACTAGTCCATAGTGCCATCATCGTTTCCCCGCACCCTGCATCTCCCTCACCCCATTATAAAGTAAGAAGAAAAGATAAGTGTATCCCAGTTCGCAAAGGTGAAGATGTGTGATGGCTGTCAGAGAATCTGCTCTGCTAACTGCTGGCCAAATTCATATGTCCATGCAGAATAAACGTACTCAATAGAGATAGAGCAGCAACAGTCCTTGATTACCATGGTTTTAAATTGTGTTTGCAGCATAACACAAATTTTACTTTACTACCCATTATTCCACTAACGCAGACTTGACTCTCAATAATGCGATTATTACCGATCACCAATGAGCTGACATATATAAGCAATGCTAAAGGTGGCCTTTCACAGATGATTTATTCCCACACCTCAGAATACATTATGACTTTTCTAAGTCTCTGTACTTGCTGTTGCAACCCACCCAGCTGTGCCTGGGACTATTCCCATCTTGATTTTCTCCACATTGTTCGTAGTTTCATAACTGGTGATAAATCTCAAGTGTAATTGTCATGATCTTTATTTCAAAATGCCCAATAACAGGAGGGCATTGATCAATTTCATTCTGTAGTAGCAGGAATGGAGGCAGCATTATTCACTAAATTGTGGCATGATGGCAGCAGCAGGGAGATCCAACCTGTTATAAAAAATGTCTGCTGACATCCGGGAACATAACCCTAACATTTACATGGGTTTCTATGGGAATAAATCTTTCCAACAATAGTTTTGCTCAATGTAGTGATTTTCAACAACATAACAGCTGCATTATTCAAGGATTACCTGTACTAAGTCTTTTGTTTCATAAAAAAAGTAAACAAAGCTCTTTTGAACTAAATGGCTTAAAGAAAATCTGGCACATACTTTGTTAACTTTGGTCAGTATACATTCACGCGGCTAAAGTACGTACTGCACCTCTCCATGTAAATATGTGTCAATGTAAAACAGAGTCTCTGGCCACTGGAGACACTGCAACGTCCGCGGGCTGGGTAGCCAGAGGGGTTGAAACAAGTCGGAGAGGGGGTAATTACAGTGTGACAAGTTAACTTGGACAGCTTCATTATAAATGTAAATATAACAATTTATAACAAAGACGGAATCAAAAATAAGGAGAGAATGCCTTGCTTTGAAATGGAGGCCGAATGGTCTCTGGGCACCCTGAATCAGTATCATTCCCCATCCTCAACCTTCACTTCACCAGGAAAATTAGGCCTGGTCACAGCAGAGAAAAAATAGACAGACACATAGGGCATATGATGGAAGGAAAGTGTGAGTAAAAGACTGGAAACATGAGATATGAGTAGTTAAACTCAATATTGGTCCAGAGCACCTTCAGTATCCTCCGACTCTGACACAGCCTCGAGACTCATGTTCTCTGGAGCGTTCTCGTGGTCAGGATGACCAACAGAGTTAGATTAGTTCATTTGTTTGCAACACATGTAGCTGGTGAATCACCTTTCCCACAATCATTGCACTGCAGTAATTCAACGTTTTTGAGAAGCGTAGTCCGCCGACACCTACACAACAGACAACAGGAAGACAACACATACAGAGACTCCAGTCACCCTTCCATACATGAAGGGAATATCTGAAATGACCACCAGGTTACTCCGCATCCGTGCCCCCCCTCCCCTCCACCCCCGCAAGGAATCATGGTAGCCCACAAACCGACAGCTACTGATGAGAATAAAGAATCCGACAACTACAACTAACAGAACCAATGTTATTTACACAATCAAAAACAAAGTTGCTGGAAAAGCTCAGCAGGTCTGGCAGCATCTGTGAAGGAAAAAACAGAGTTAACGTTTCGGGTCCGGTGACCCTTCCTCAGAACAGAGTTCTGTTGAGTTCTGAGGAAGGGTCACTGGACCCGAAACGTTAACTCTGTTTTTTCCTTCACAGATGCTGCCAGACCTGCTGAGCTTTTCCAGCAACTTTGTTTTTGATCCTGATTTACAGCATCAGCAGTTTTTATTTACAAGATACCATACAAAGACTGCCAAAAACATTACATAGGGCAAACCGGAAGGAAACCAGCCATCAGGATTAACGAAAACCAACTAGCTACCAACAGACATGACCAACTATCACTCACTTCAATACACATGGACAGAGAGGGACACCAATTCGACTGGGACAATGTAGCCATCCAAGGATAAGCCAAGCAAAAACACACACGAGAATTCCTGGAGGCCTGGGACTCAAACTGGAACTCCATTTACAAACATGTACAGCTGCACCCCATATACCAATCACTGAGAAACAAACCCGGAAGTGATGCCACCCACTCCAGCAAACCGAAACACAAATAACAAGTGGGACAGAACACTGACACTTCACCGGAGGCACAATGATGTTAGCGAGTATGGTGACGAAACGCCTGCAAACAAACTTCCCAGCTCGGTGAGCAAGTCAACAATCGCAGTGCAGCAATGCAGATCAATGTCACTTACCGTCTCCTTAAAACTATCTGAGAGCCAACGGTTCCGTAAAACAGCAACCACAGATGAAGGAGGGTTTTCCAAGTCTTCAAAGGCATCCATCAGAATGAAATCCAATACAATATCAAAAAAGCTCATGCACACAACCTGTAGATATAAGTTTTCTCCCATGAGTGAAAGAAATGGCATTTAAACCACCTCACATAACCTCATGATGTCACAAACTGCTTTACAGACAATTCTGTTATAGGAAACAAAGTGTGAGAAAGCAAGGTACAAAAGCAGCAGCAAGATGATGGCCAGATAATCAGTTACTAATGATTCAACGAGAGCGAGAAGGGCCATTCAGCCCAACTTGTCTATGCTCCACATACCTTCATTTCACCCTATCCCAATATCATCCTATCCCTTTCTCTTTCGTGTTTATCCAGCTTCCCTGTAAATGTGTTAACAGTATTTGCCTCAACCACCCCAAAAGACATTTCTCCTAAATTCCCTACTGGAATTAGCAGCAAACACAATTAAATTGATGGTCCCTAGTTCTGGTCTCCCTAGGAAGTGGTAACATTTCCATCTTTAAGTAGAGATGGGAAACATAGGAACATAGAAAATAGGATAAGTAGTAGGGTCATTCGGCCCATCAAACCCATTCTGCCGTGCAACATGAACATGATTGATCCTCTCTCTCGTTCATCTGCACTCTCCCTTTAGCTTCCAGTAATTTCTTTCTTTCCTAAATATAGTCAGTGATTTGATCTCCACAGCAATCTGTGGTAGAGAATTCCACAGATTCACTGCCCTGAATGAAGAAATTTTTTTTTCATCTCAATTCAAATGGCGTTCCTCCACATGTCCCGTGACCATGACCCCTTGTTCTAGACCCCCATAACGAGGACTCATAATTCACAAAAGAAGGTCACAGTGTGAAATTAGGGTCACACAGATGGACACATACACCTTCACAGGGTCAATAAAGGCACGATTTAGGAATGCAAGGAATTCAGGTTAATCAGATCTGATTATCCCTTGCACTTATGAAATAAATATTTCACTCGTTCTACAGCAAGAAATGCAAATGTTCCACTCCAAAGTTCACCCCCCAGCAGTCTGCCTCTCATTGGAGTTGACCCCTGTGGATGAACAATAAGGTTCTGTAAAACGTACAGCTCGTGTCATTTAAAATAAGCACATCAGCAAGGCACTGAATGGAAGTTCTCCTTCCGGTCCTAACCAGATAGCTACTAAAAAGATTTCTGGACCTACCCCTCGTCCCTCCAGCTCTCTCTTCGTTGTTGCCCAGGTCTCTTCCCTAGCTGCATACTGCAGCATTTCTTGGTAGGTCTCATAGAATCGATTCACATTCTGCAACAGGTAAAGAGGGTCAGGGATAGGAAGGGGAGGTTTTTCTTTTTATCACATTACAATGATGGGAATATCGGATTTAGCCACTGTTCCTGCCCACGTGAACCTCCTTCCTCAAACAGTTTAACTCTGTCACCAGAATCGCCCATCCCGTCACAGCTGGGAAACTGAGCAGTCAGCACCTCCTCAGGTTGCAAGGATAGTCATAAGACTGTTATATACTGCTCTTCCCACTTTACAATAGGGAAGATTCAACCTGTGAGGAAAAGGAATTGAGGTTGCTGGTCAATGATCTGAGCATGTGGAATTCAGGAGCTGTGTCCATTATCCAACAACAATATACTGCATAATTAAAAAGCCCCAAGAACTGTGGATGCTGGAAATCAGAAACAAAACCAGAAATTGTTGGAAGATCTCAGCAGGTCCTGCAGCATCTGTGGAGAGAAATCAGAGGTAACGTTTTGGATCCAGTGACACTTCCTCAGAACCTGAAGTAGGATTCACTGGGTTTGTTCTCCTTGGACAACAGTAGCTATGGGCAGATTTGATTGAGATAACAGGCCTGGATAGACTGGATGGTTCAGAACTTTTCCACTGGACCTGAAAAGTTAACTCTTATTTCCCTCCACAGATGCTGCTGGACCTGCTGAGATTTTCTAGCAATTTCTGGTTTTGTTTCAAAGTACACTGTAATCCAGGGTGTTACAACACCCATCATAGCCAGATAAAGATACCGAGTAGTTCAACTGTGCCGTCACACACTGACCTCTAATTTATTTGAAAGAAAAATTGAAAAACACTTGAATGAAACATCAGATATAAGTTGTTACACTATTTGATTCTGCACAGAATCACAGAAAGAGGCCACTTGGCCCATCATTTTGCTGGCCAAAAAAAATAAGCCACCCAGCCTAATCTCACTTCCCTCGTCCATTTCTATACAGATTATGGTTAAACCACCACCGGTCGTCTCTCTCTCTCTCTCTCTCTCCAAGATATAAGCCTTATGGTCTGGTACGACTATGACATCTTAACCATTTTTTACAAGACTTGAAAAAGTAAAGGGTTTCCTGCCCTACTGCCCTTTTAAGAAGCGACCCCAACCAGCCCCTAGGTAAGAATGTTTTTCATCTCCTCTCTAATCTACGCCTCCCATTCACCAACTCTGTTAGGGTAAACAGTTCCTTCCCTTCCAGTCTATCCAGGCCCCTCTCAATCTTGTACAACTCAATCAAATCTGGCCTCATGATCTTCTTGTCCAAGGAGAACAATCAAAGCAAATCCGATCTTTGCTCATGGCTGCAAATTTCCCGTCTTGGCCGCATCCTTGTTAATCCCTCTCTAGACCCTCTCCAGTGCAATCACATCGACAGCACATACAGCAACAATCAACAAAAGTTCCAGCAAGATAGGGTACACACAAAACTTAAAGGCTGCATGCTGCTTTAACACTCAGCCAGGACTGCCTGAAAATCCCAAAATCTATTCTCTTAATCTGACTGGGGATTGCTACTCTTCGTTGGAGAAATCCCACCCTCTATAACATCACAAAGTCCAAAATTACAGAATATCTGTGGGATTGGGCCTGGTGTTTTACCTTTCCTGCAGTGGACATCAGTCCAGTAATCATCTGCTTCCCAATTTCACTGAAGAATAGCTGGTTTGTCGCATCCTGCAGTAATACCTGTGTCAAAAACACGTTTTTGTTAGAAATGGAAGCAGCTCACAACCTGCATTGTGCGGGAGACTCACACTTCTAACATCATCTAATGTAACAGAAGCAGAAAATCCTGGAAATATTCAGCATTGCCAGGCAGCATGCACAGAGAGAGAGAGAAACAAAGGTAATGTTTCAGATTGTGTGAAAGACGTGGCCTGCTGATGGTTTCAGTATTTTGTTTTAATTTTTAAATTTTCAGCAATCACAGTATTTTGCTTTCGTATCGTCTAATACACCAGGTGCAGAGCAGCTACAGGACAGGGTTGAAGATTACAGTAGAAAATCAGACTTAAGTAAGTCCCTTACTAACTCATCTTTCCCAGTCCTCAACTAGTTAGGGATGGAATTATACTCTTTAACAAAAGGTACTTTCCTCAGCTCCCTCTTTATAACACAGGAATGTTATTAGAACATAGAACATAGAACTGTACAGCACAGTACAAGCCTCTCGGCCCACGAAGTTGTGACGAACTTTTACCCTAAACTTAAGGTCTATCTAACCTCCACCCCTACCTTATACTATCATCCATATGCCTATCTAATAGTCGCTTAAATGCCCCTAATGAGGCCGACTCCACTACCCTCTCCGGCAATGCATTCCATGCCCCTACCACTCTCTGAGTAAAGAACCTACCTCTGACGTCTCCCCTATATCTACTTCCACTCACTTTAAAACTATGCCCCCTCGTAATAGCTACCTCCACCCTAGGAAAAAGTCTCTGGCCGTACACTCTATCTATACCTCTGATCATTTTGTACACCTCGAATTATTATCTTAAAATTTCTTCCCTCTTCAGTTAAAGACACAGATTCTTGATGGGGTCGAGCTTCACCAACCATACAGTGCCCAATATATCATGTGCAAGTCTTTTTTTGAATGGCACCAATCCACGTCAGAGAACATCACAGTCAGACCAAAGCCTTGCCTCCCCATTTCATGTGAAAGCTGCAGACATCCAACTGGATAGCGACTAGGAGCAGGAAAACTGACTTATCATCATCCCAGCCCCTTGTAGCAAAGATTACAAAGTAACGTATTGGACAAGGAGGGGTAACCTTTCATCCAGTTAGCCTAGTCTTATAAATCTCTCCTCAGGCCACTGTCATTCTTGAACTAGCAGACTGGTGTTCTTTCTCCAAACTGGAATTCACCTATTTCTTTTTAAACTATGCCATGGCCCTCTGCCCCACTATCACTGCTAATGATAGACAGTACTCCATTAACGCACCAATTCTTACAAAAAATAAAGTTGCCTGAATTTCCTATTTTCTTTCAACTCACTAAACTTTAAACCCTGTCCCTAATTCTTGTCTTCTTTGAAGGAATAAACTTTAAGCATTTTGGAAACATACTTTAAAATACTTGATGATTCAAATAATTCTGAATTCCTCCACTGTTCCCAACCAGATTATAATTGAATCCATGTCAGAAATACTGACCCCACATCTCTCAAAGTGACACCATCTTTTTAATGTACCTCGTTTACTGTCCCTTCCTTCAACTGTCTGTATACATTGCAATCCAGCCAGGCTCTTTCCTGTAGCCCTTGCCAGTTTTAATTTAACCCAACTGTTAATAGGCAAGACATCAATGAGGGAGAACTCACTGTAACTCACACCACTACCTCTGGGGCTTCTCTATATTTCGCCAACATGTGCAGCTTCAGTGCAATTCAATGTCTTATGATGGACTTCTTCCTCTCTCTCTAGAAGTGACCAAACCTTATCTCCCTTTCACTATATCGCACTGTTCCCTGGGTTACAACAACAGGTAACCCTTCCCCTCTAACCAGCCAGATAAAGGCAAGGATGCTGACTCAACTATGTCCGTTGAGTTTACAGAAAGAGACCATTCAGCTAAATGCTCCACACAATTTCCTCCAACTTATGACAACTCACCCTATCACCATCCCTTCTATCCCTTTCTTTCCCAATGTCTATTGCTATGATCGCAGCTGATGTTGTTAAAGCCTAAAATCTAGCTTGGTAGATGATATTGTTTTTCTTTTCATTTTGACAAAGTAGTCTTTCACTGAAACAAACACAATGCTACAGATTAACACTAACACAACTTTATTTACAAAAAGAAAATATATAACTAAATAAACAAAATTAATTGACATATAAACACGTAAAAATTTCAAAATACGATACAAATACAATCTCATTAATCCTGACAGAATCCCAGTACAGTAATCAAATATCACAAGAATGCCTTTCTCTATCCCACATAGCGTTTGACTTAGCCGCAGCTTCATTTCCCAGTCTTGGGAATCTGTGAACCTCTTCATTGATTCATCATATAATTGAGCTGACATTTTCTCAGCTTCATAAAATGCCTTCAGGATTTTAACCAAACACTTCAGGTCTGGAACTTCTGAATAAGTCTCCTTACAGTGAGGTAACCTTTTTCTGAACAATTGTAAACTACTTCCCTCAGGAGCATCCGTTTCACACATCCAGCTTTAATGAAGACTCCCGCAAAATTGCCCCAAAGTGAAACTGAAGGCTTTTTGGGATAGTAGGAACTGCAGATGCTGGACAATCCGAGATGACAAGGTGTGGAGCTGGATGAACACAGCAGGCCAAGCAGCATCAGAGGAGCAGGAAGGCTGACGTTTCGGGCCTACACCCTCCTTCAGAAATGGGGGAGGGGAAGGGGGAATCTGAAATAAATAGGGAGAGAGGGGGAGGCGGATAGAAGATGGATAGAGGAGAAGATACATGGAGAGGAGACAGACAGGTCAAAGAGGTGGGGATGGAGCCAGTAAAGGTGAGTGTAGGTGGGGAGGTAGGGAGGAGACAGGCCAGTCCAGGGAGGACGGACAGGTCAAGAGGGCGGGATGAGGTTAGTAGGTAGGAGATGGGGGTGGGGCTTGAGGTGGGAAGAGGGGATAGGTGGGAGGAAGAACAGGTTAGGGAGGCGGGGACGAGCTGGGCTGGTTTTGGGATGCGGTAGGTGGAGGGGAGATTTTGAAGCTTGTGAAGTCCACATGGATACCATTGGGCTGCAGGGCTCCCAAGCAGAATATGAGCTTGCTGTTCCTGCAACCTTCGGGTAGCATCGTTGTGGCACTGCAGGAGGCCCAGGATGGACATGTCGTCTGCGGAATGGGAGGGGGAGTTGAAATGGTTCGCGACTCGGAGGTGCAGTTGTTTAGTGCGAACCGAGCGTAGGTGTTCTGCAAACCGGTCCCCAAGCCTCCGCTTGGTTTTCCCAATGTAGAGGAGGCCACAACGGGAACAGCGGATGCAGTATACCACATTAGCAGATGTGCAGGTGAACACCTGCTTGATGTGGCAAGTCTTCTTGGGGCCTGGGATGGGGGTGAGGGGGGAGGTGTAGCGCTTCCTGTGGTTGCGGGGAAAAGTGCCGGGTGAGGTGGGGCTGGAGGGAAGTGTGGAGCGGACAAGGGAGTCACGGAGAGAGTGGTCCCTCCAGAAAGCAGATAAGGGAAGGGAGCGAAAAATGTCTTTGGTGGTGAGGTCGGACTGCAGATGGCGGAAGTGT